AGTAGCTAGCCTGGAGAGGATGGTGAGTCTGTTTAGATTAAAGGAAGGGCTGGATCTTATTCAGTTTGCAAGGGGTCTGAAGTCCAATGTAAATAGTAATGCATGTTCCATGCCGATTCTGAAAGTGGATAATGTGATTGAAGTTTCTCTGAACTGGTTTAGGGTCCTCGTGGGGAATTGCAGAACTGTTTGCGATGGATTTATTGTGGATCTTTTAGGTGAAGCCTCAATTGTAGCTCTATCTAGGATGCAGCGAATACTGTCATTGAATGTGGTTTTCCCGCCGGCCTATTCTATATTTGCTTTTGTTGTATGGAAACCCATCCTTGACGCATGCTTTGGAGTACGTGAAGATTTCAACCAATTGTATCAGTTATTGGTCACATGTATGGGTGATGCTATAAAGCACCTGCCCTTTCGTGATATATGTCTGAGAGACACTTATGTCCTGTATGAACTCGTAGCTGAAGATAACCTTGATTTTGAATTTGTTTCCTTGCTAGAAGCTAGTGGTGCAGATATTAATTTGAAAGCTTCCGCCGTGGTTCCTCTACGTTCGAGACTTTTTCTGGATTCTCTCTTAGAATGTGGATTGCCACTACCAATGGCTGACAAGAATTGGGTTAGCGGGCATGGTTTGTTGAAAAAACAGTGTGGGGAAAACGTGAAAAAGCTTATGAGCAAGCTTGTGCATGTTTTGGATACATTGCAGCCAGCGAGATTTCACTGGCAGTGGATTGAGCTGAGGCTCCTACTCAACGAGCAGGCAATCAATGAGAAGATGGAGATTGATGTCTCCTTGATCGAGGCCATAAAGTCTCTCGAGCCTAATCCTGATAAAAATACTGCTTCTGAGAGTGAGAGCAACTTCATTCAAATTATTCTCACCAGGCTACTGGTCAGGCCTGACGCAGCTCCTTTGTTTTCTGAGCTTGTCCTTCTCTTGGGAAAATCGCTCGAGGATTCAATGCTGTCTCAAGCAAAATGGCTATTGAGAGGTGCTGAAGTTCTTTTTGGGAAAAAATCTATCCGGCAGAAGGTTGTAAATATTGCTGCCGAGTTTAAAGAACTCTCCCTAAAACCCCAGCACTGCAAGCCATGGGGATGGTGCCCTTCTGATGTTAACTTATTAGCTAACAAAGGTGAAAAATGGAAATCTAAAGGCTGCACCCTAGAAGAAGGGGAAGTTGTTGATGAAGGAGCAGATTCAAACTCATCTGGAAAAGGATTGGGTGCTTTGGATGTTGAAGGCTTTATCGTCAGTCAACAGCATGTGACCGAAAGAGCTCTTGTTGAGCTAATCCGTCCATGTCTGGATCAAGGCTCGGATGACCAGCGTTATAATTTTGCGAGTGAAATGATCAAGCAAATAAGTAATATCGAGCAACAAATAAATGCAGTTACTTGTGGAGTTGGCAAGCAAGCTATGGCTCCCAGTCCTGCAGTCGGAACTCCTGCAAATAAAAGTAGCCACAGAAAAAGTGGGAAAAGTGGGAGTCCAGGAATATCGAGGCAGTCGTCTGGAGCTATTGATACTGTTCCTCCTTCTCCTGCAGCTTTGCGGGCATCTATGACTCTGAGATTGCAGTTCCTGATTAGGTTGCTTCCTATTATTTGTGCAGACAGGTAAATTTTACTTTTTGATTGTGATGTCTGTGCTTGGACAGCAAGGCACGTGGGAGTGAGATGTTATTTGACTGTGATATATCTGATCTTTGGCTTTTGTGTCCTTCATAGTCATTTTTTCTTTTCGTCTTTTTCTTTTCTGGCAGCATCATTTTGTTTGCTCAAAGCAGTCATAGCTGGTCTTTTAATTTTTGCTAGTTTGTTCTCACCTTTGATCTTCTGTGACCAAAAACATTGCAGTGAATTTATGCCCCTGATTTTGATTGTTGGTCAAATCTTATGATATATCTGTGCTTCTGGAAAAATCTTGATGTATGTTGTATTGTTGTATAAAAGGGATTATGAATTGCCTATAATACCAGGCTGTTCGATTCAGTGAACCTTTTAAAGGCTAATTTCTTGGTTTATGTGCTAGATCCGTAATTGTAGAACCTCGCTTTGCTGTCCTTTTCGCTTGTTCGTTGAAAAAAAAAAAATAACTATATTGATGCTTGTTGATACTTATTCATTTACTATCTCCTACTGCATGCTTTTTAGGGAGCCTTCAGGTCGGAATATGAGGTATGCTCTTGCTACAGTTCTTTTGCGTCTCCTTGGAAGCAGGGTTGTGCATGAAGATGCTGGCCATGTCAATAATCCATCATTTATTACGCCAAAGAGAGACTTGGAATCTCTCAAGGAAACTTCTGCTGCTGGCGAACTTTTATGTGGGAAAGGTATATTCGACTGTCTATTGTTGGTACTGAATGTGTTGCTAAGCTGTCACCAGCCCAGCTGGTTGAAGCCCAAGTCTGAATCCAAGGCCACCCAGCCCAGCAAGGAATACACCGCTTTTGATCATGAAGTTGCAGAAAACATGCAGGTTTGACACTGCCCCACCTCCTAACGATATTAATTATATATGACTACTCGAATATCCCTGAGCTTTTGCCCGACTACCAACCAAAAAAAAAATAAATAAATAAAAAAATCCAGTTATATTTAAAAGTTACAATTCCTTAACCTTGGTCTTTGTATTCCTAGCAAGTACCGTTTTCTCAAGATTGCAAGTTTAGAATATACTTAATTGTAGTGGGGGAGTGGTGAATTTAATGACTTGGTTTTTCTATTTTATCCATATTTGTATTAATGCAGAATGAGTTGAACCGTATGGAATTGCCCGAGATAATCCGGTGGCGAATCCAAACTGCAATGCCAACTATTTTCCCAAACTTCAAGTGTTCTGTCCCTTGCCAGCCCCCATCTCTGTCCTTCAACGCCCTCGCCTGTCTTCAGCCAAGCAATACTGTGACCAAATTTAATTCAAACCCACTTCCGCCTCAAAGAAATCTTTCTGTTCGCTCGTCCTCAAATCTGAAAAGCAAACCACAACAGGATAATGACACAGATATTATCGATCAGTGGACTTTTCTGGAGGATGGCACTGGGTTGGGCCCTCTTTCAGCCAGCTCAGCCAGTATTAGTGGTGGTGATAATATGAATTTGAAGGCGTGCAATTGGCTGAAGGGGGCTGTGAGAGTGAGAAGGACGGACCTCACTTATATTGGGGCAGTTGATGAGGACAGCTGAGTTTTTGGCTAATTTATTTTTGGGATTTTTTTTTCGAGAGGAGCCGACACCATGCAGAGAATTTCCTTGAATGGGTGGGGCTTGTTTGGCATTAGCAGTGAAAAAAATGCTGCTATTGAGGTGCATTTGTTTTACAGAGAGCCATGGGGTTTTGGGTGGGTTTTTGATGATGGAGGTTTTCTTGGCTTCCTGTGGTGTTGGATGTGAAGGTCCTGCTCGTCTGCTGACCATTGAATGAGATGGGGCTAGTACAAGGTGATTGTTGTAAATACGGATAACATCCTTTTACTCTTCTTTTTTGTTCCCTCCTTTTAGTTTCTTTTTGATCAGGTGAAATGTCTTGAGGGAAGGTCTGTAGCTTCTTCCATGCACAGAAAATATCTTGTTTGTTACGCATTTAGTGTCTTAATTTTTCAATCTTATGGGCTTTTTGGTTTTGTTATCCAATATCACTCCTCGTCTTGCTTTGTTTCTCCCGGCTTTTCTGGATTCGGGAATATCATTTTTTGCTTGTGGTGGAAGAAAAAACGTGGATTCTTTTTCTCAACTGGAGTCAGTCTTTCGGTCTTTCGATGATTAAAAAACGACGAAGGAAAGAAAGAGCGGAAGATTCTAATATTGGTGGCAGTAAATTAAAAATCTGTACTTTTGTGCCTACAAATGGGCATGTAATTCTTTCTATGCTAAGTAGGTGTTTTCTTAGAACCATTGAATATTTCCGATTGAAGAAACTTTTAACAGTAGGGGACTATTTACTGTGGGCTTTTTGTGGTTGTGATTGTGGTGGTATTTGACTTGGCAGGACGTTGCTCGTTTTTACTGGAAGGAAAGCTGTCGAAAAAGCTTGAACCTGATGTAGAATATATCCACCGAGGGGTGGATGTTTGCCGGGAATATAGTTGCTCTTTAATTTCATACTTTTTTTTTAAAAAAAAAAAAAAAATTGAAGTTGCATTTATTTATGCAGTTTTTGCTATCTTTTGACAAATGACAAAATTTTCAATCTTCGGTAAGATGAAGAAAGTTATAGCTCTGAAGAAAGTTATAACTGTTGGAATCATCAAATTTCATATAAAATTTCAATGAAAAACACATTTCAACGTAATATTTTTATTGGAATTTTCGTTGGAATTTCTATTGGAATATATTTCTATAAAATTTTTCGTTGGAATATAACAATTTTTTGTAGTGCATGTTTAATCTATTTTTTGAAAAAATTTATAAAAATACAACATTTAAAATAAAATTGTATATAAATCATTCATAAACGAGTTGTACGCCCAAAAACAATGTAGTTTCAAAATTAATGATAAAAATATATCACAAATCAACTATGCATAAATACTGTGGTTGATTGTTTATGGATTCAACTAGTTTTTATTTAGTTTGTTTTTTAACTATAGTTAATTTTGAAAAAAGGTGGTATGGTTAATTGTTAGTAGATATATTAAAATAATATTTAAATAAAATAATTAAAGTTAATTTGATGTAAAGCAGGAGAAAAATGATTGGAAGTGATGGTTAGTTAAAATTATGTGAGTGAATGAATAGTGAATTAAAATTGATGTGATGTATAAGAATGATTGGTTGATATTATTTAATTATATTGATAATATTGAAAATAGTGGAGTTGAGTTAAATTTGAGTTTTGATTGATTTTTTTACTATTAAAAGTTAGTATATTTTTTAGTAAAAATAAAAACATGAAATAAATAGGAATTTGTAATTGACTTGCATAAATCTCTCAATAACTAGTCGTTCTTTTTCCACATATAAAACCAACAATTATAATCCACTTGTTAAAATATGATAAAGCAATATTGAAGTACCATTTTTATTCAGAAACATATAAGAAAATGACAAAAAATGAAAAAAATAACTTGCTTGTCCAATTTTGGCTGGTTAATTTTATCGCAAGCAACAACAATATTTATTCACTTCCAAAAACATCAATTCGTGATTTTCACTACACAACAAATCAGTGCATCTCTACAATAATTACAGGTCAGGACAAATGTCAACTTCAAACTTCTGAAGTGTTATGTTAATTTCAATTTCACCCACTTCATCTGGCTCAAAGATGACCATAAGACTATTATGCAATGAAGCATAACATCATTTCCTTTTTTTGGCAAGAACAAAAACAAACCGAAGAACTAGGCTAACTAGTTGGTTTCCTTTTAAAGGCAGGGTGGATGATTAAGTTAGAAGACTCTAACTTATCAATCCTGGCCATATACTCTTTCATCCTGTTCAGTACAGCAGGCAGAACAGCAGTATTATTAGACAGCTTTTGCTTTAGGAGTTGAATTTTCTCAGCTTCTTCCTTATCCTCTGTGATCGGTAATTCCGTGTTCTCCCTTGTAAGAGCTACAAAAGAAAAGGTCAGCAAAGCAGCAAAATAATATTATACAATCATGGCAAGGAAAAACAAAACATTAATATACATGCAATTAGCAACGAAATATTAACATGCCTGCAATTGCAACAAAACATGGACGCTGATCATTTTCTTTGTCAAAGAAACCAGAAGGTATGCATCACATAAAAGTATGCATATTAATATACACAAGAAAAGAAATTGCATACGATATTTGGGGTGGATTAAGATGCGAGTAGAGAAAAATGCTAACCAGTATAATTTCTTCAGCACAGAGAAGGAGATATGTCAAAACAAAATTAAAACAGAGATATCATTTAGTTTTCATCGAAACTGCTAACTTAGTTACATTGTGCCAATATTGGTTGATACAGAAAAATTATGTGTTGTGATTCAGTTTAAGGTTAATCATTATTTATATGCACACATACCACTTCAGTTATCTTTCAAAATTAGAAATACCCCCTTAAAATGTTACAATATTATGCCATTCAAATTCGTTACCTAACAAATACTCTTCATGATCCATTCAAATTTGTTATCTAAGAAATACTCTTCATGAGAAGGCAATTCGCAAAAAGAAGCTAGATGTCAGAGATACGATTTATTTGTCGAAGATGACTACACTTTCAGTAAGCAAGCAGAACACATGGGTTGTCTATAACACTATATAATTTGACCCAAGTGATAAATGCATACTTAGAACAGGCTTATACAGAATTTATAACTATGAATCTCAAAAATAAGTAACTCAGCCTTTATCTCAAACTAAACTAACTCAACCATATCCAGGACCCAAACAAAATTAGAGGTCACCCACAAATGGATAACCATACTAAACATATACTGTGGGAATGAATTTGTAGATAAGCTTGTGCAGTGTATGTATAGAAAAGAGATGACCTCTGATATCAAAATTTTCACATTTAATCAGTGGATCAAATTCCAGTTAAAGAAAACTTAGTTGGACATGTAAATAACTGCAAGCAAAGGTTCAAAAAGGAAAACAGACACTAAGAAAAAAGGAATAATATAAAAATACCCCTCAAATATGTGATTTAAATCTCACTAGCAGCAGAACAGAAAAATTGCATTAAATCACTCGCTTTCCATATTGAAAAAAAATGGAAAAGAAAGATAAACACCGAACCTTGGGTAACTCTGGCTTCTGAGTCTGGCAGCAGCATTGGGGTTTCCGGGCCTGTCCTTTCGTCAGCTAAACGGGTCGATAAAACGGGTCTAGCCGAAGCGAGGACAGAGCGAAGGGTTGAGCTGAACTGATCTGGGAGTGTGGTTCGATATTCGAGTATTTTCTGAGCCATTTGGTGAACTTCTTCTTCCAGCTTTAGCACCTCCTCTTCCTCTGCAGCCTCTTGGAGGTCGAAAGCGGCGCCGTTTCGAGGTCCTGATGATATCATAAGGCCGGTGTCGATTTCTTATTCTCTGTAGTAAGAATGTCTATGGATGGAGAATGAATTTGGGGATTAGGGTTTGAGCTGAGTTTTCGAAAATTTTGAATATTGTAGGGGGAGGCTGCTTTGTGATATGTGGGGCGTTTGGGGAGTCGGAGGAAATTTGAAAGTGGTTGCAACTTGAAAAGGCATGGTGGGACCCACCATATTGTCCTGAAAATTGCTTTTATTGTAAGGGCAACTTTAGTAGTAAAACTCATAAACCTACTTTTTTTTATTCCCAACGCGCCACCTAAGCCAAAACCTGATGTTCACTCTTACAAATATAATCATAAACCTCTAAAACAAATTTCATTGGTTCCACATGTAAAAAAAATTTGCAGACAAGAATCACATGGGTCCACATCTCTTTCACGCTTTTTTATCGCGTGTCACACACGAGTATGGCCAGTGCATTTGAAATGAGAGAGTTGAGATCACACTGCATTTTTCTTTCTCTTTATCTTTAATTATTTCTTTTATCTCATAGCTTTTGAGGAGGTTTGAGATTGCAACACGGGTTTACTATTTCAAACCTCAAACCTGTGCATTTTAATGGTAAACCTCTCAGGTTTAGATTTTCAAACCTTGCAAAACCTCCCTATTAGAGATGCTCTAAACTAGTGCGTACACTGTAAACAATATTAAATAACAATTATAAATGAGTTTTGAGTTCGAGTCACGTAAGTGAGGAATCACTATTGATACTTTTTTTAAAGAAAATTATGATGTCACGTGTGAAAATTTTTACGCAAGATTTCAAAAATTATTATTATTATTATTATTATTATTATTATTATTATTATTATTATTATTATTTCCGTGTTATACACGACTATAATAATTTATGAAATTTATATATTTATTTATTTTTATATACCGAAGTCTGTCTATTTTTTTTAAAAAAAAATTGAAGCCTAATTATGTTCCACAATATAATGTACTCAACTAAACTGGTCGAGTCAAACTTAACGGGCCAATAACATATTATTGAATTGACCCAAATAAAGCCCAACTATGAAAGCAGACCGAATCATTAAGTGCGACCTAACATCTCAACCCGTTATGATTTAAATGAATGGATCAGACGGTCTGAATTAGTCAACCGATATCTAACGGTCAGAAATCAAAGATGCCATCTAAAAAAGTTAAACATATCCAAATTAATAGGGTTATATCATTACTTCTCCTCCTCCCACCGCTTTCCTTCTCTATTCTCTCTCTTATATCACTTATAGAAACTTGAGAAAATATTCTTTCAAATTTTCACAAAAATGCTCTATTTTTTAAACAATCAATCACATCTATTGCGAGTGAATTTTTTATGTTAGATAGATCGATGTTATATCTTGTCTTTATGTTTAGAAAGATGTCTCTATTATTTTATTTCTTTTGATTGTCATATTTTTTTGTGTGTTCTAAGATTTTATGTTTGTTTTGAATATCGAGACTTATGTAATGTGTTGTTCAATTATTTTGATTCATATTGCTTTTTTTTTTTTGTAAATTTTAGAAATTTCGTAAGTTTAATGGACGAATCTGGAATAATTTTTTAATTTTCGATCGAAATCCGAATTTTATTCAGTCGAAAAAAGTGAACCGGAAATGAAGTCTCATTTTCTATTTGAATGTCTGTTTGTTTTGAAAAATGTTACAAATCTTAGTCGGTTATATAAATTTTGACTGTATTTTAAAATTTAATTTAAAATAAGGGTCTTAATCTCTAAGAGCATCTCTAATGCAACTTTTGACACTATAAAAAGTTATCCATATCATCAATTTTTGAAAGTGTATCTCTATTTTTTTCTCCAATGCATCTTGTCATGAACTCTTTCATGATGAGGTGGATGTCATTTAATGTTGACAATGTTGAGTACACTTTCTAATATCTAACACCATGTTAAACATGATGACTCATCAATTTACTTTATATTTGTTTTAATTTTTTATTTATTTTGTACAATGAATACAAATAACTTCTTATCAAATTGATGCATTGGAGATAGTACTTTCATTGAAATTTCTAGTCTTTTAACATTATTTCAATGTGGATTAACATTACAATCACTAATTGACATGTGTTAAAAATAATGGTATTTCGCACTTATAGCATTGGAGATGCTCTAAAAATGTGTTCAAATCTTTTGTGGTTGAACAAATCCCACATTTTATGGGCAGCATTTAATGCTGCCCGATTTTTTTGTAAGAAAGAAAAAAAAAAGTTGCCAAAAGTGGCATGTAATTAATGCAGACAGAATTTTGACCAAAATTTGACTTGCTATTTTTGAAAAATGTTAATTTTTATTATATACTAGTATTCGACCTTGTGCATTTGCACAGATGTAAATAAAATTAAATATTATAAGTTATATTTATGTATATAATATAAAAATTATAAGTTATATAATTGTATTATATTTCAAACATATAGTATTATAAGTTATATTTATGTATATAATATTAAAATTAAAATTATATAATAGTATTATATTTTAAAATTTGATCATTGGTTAAAATAAATAGTACAAACGATTTGATTGTATACGAATCACTATATTGATTGCATAAAATGTAATAAATATATACTTTTTATAATTTTGAGTGATCATGACCAATTAATTAGCTGAAAAATATTACATTTATTATAACAATTGCTTATGTGATTTTAAGAAATTTTACTATGACATTAAAAAAATTAATTTATTAATAAACAACATCTTCATCATATAAAAAAATATTGATTTTAGTGTAAAATATAATTTTATGTAACTTTCATATATTATTTAGTATAAATTATAATTACTAATTTTAATATTAACTATTATATTATTCAATAAAAAATATAATTATTAATCAATTAACATAAAATATAATGATTTTTGTCTTAATTAACTCAAAAAATGTAATGAAATATTTTCTTATTAATGAGATTGAGTGTATTAATGGCACATAAATAAAATTTATTAGGTTCTATTTATTAGATTTTATTAATGATTTGCCACATAGGTAAAATTTATTAGGTTTTATTTATTAGGTAAAATTTATTGCTTAGCTAGCAATTATATATATATAGATATATAGATGGTAGTATTATTTTAAAAACCATTGCATTTAATTCGTTTTAAGAAACTAAGGTGAACAGCCTCTGGAAAGAAAAACAAAAAGAAACCATTGCATTTAATTTTATATGTTTCTTTATAAAATGTATGAATATACAACTTTGGACTGAAAATAATTAATTCTTCAAATATTGGAACCATTTTGATTAAGTTGCAATTTGAAATTCCAAAACACAAATTATGTATATTTTGGTTACAAAAGTGAAAATTTCAACAATTATAATTATTACCTTCACTTCACATCACGCCCAACCCCTTTGACCTTTGGCCCTTTTATCTCTCTCTAGGGTCGAACACAGAGAGAGAAACAGAGCGGCAATGGAGGGCTCGAAAATTTTGCCCCAAACTCGAAAAAGGCCGTTCGAACAAACCGCCGGCAATCTTCAGGATTCACCTTACTACAAAGTTCGTGCTGTTCTGAAAGATCTTCGACCCCACTTCATTGAGGTTTCATTCTTTAGTTTTTTCTTTTTCCTTTTTCCAGTTTGATATTTGTTGCTATGCTGGAGTTCTGATGAATTTTGTTCGTCGCCATATGACGTTGCTTTCGTGAACTCCGTGAATTTTTGGCGTTTCTACTCCGTGCTCTACTGGACTATCCTGATAATTTTCTTGGCTATTGAGTGAGATATTTGTGATTTTTGATTAGGTTTTCTGTTTACATTTATTTTCGTTTGACTTTATGAACTGTTTATCGACTTTCTTTTGTTCCCGTTTTCTGATATGTTGGATGCTGCAAAATTTCAAAAATTTTGATGCGGTTATGCTTCTAGATACAAGAAATGTGACCAATTCTGAAATTTATATCCTGGGACCTGGGCATTGACATTGATTAATGCAAATTTTCTTGGTAAATTTATTTGTTTCATTATCAGAAATCTTACCTGAGAGAATTTTGCTTAAATTTCCGAGGATGGTTTAACAAGATAAGAAAATAATGTTTGCACATGGCGATGGACCTTGTTGTTAATATGCCAGACTTGCATACATTAATCATTATGAATGAAGCACAGAAGCAAGTTGACTAGATATCATTATTATGGAACTTGGGTCTATTTGGAAAGGGAATTATAAAGTTTGTGACATTTTACATTTACTTATGATGTAGGTGCTCAAGACCCCGGATTTCCGAAATTGCAAGGCAGCTAGTGAGATTCGTGAAGGTTAGCTCTTCAAATACTTGTGTAATCTATATATTAAATACTAATTTCTATCAGCAATCATGTGCTCTATATGTGAGAAACTTGGCTGGAGTATTTTGAACTATTCTTTATTTATGGGTTTACCGGGTTAGAGCGGTTGATATGCCAATATCTTAGCAAATAAAGAAATCTTACTTTTGTACCTAGATGGAGACGTTAGCCCGACTGATTCTCACTTGTATAACAGCATATGATATTTTTTTTTATTTTTTTGTTTATTTATTTTTTGTCATTATGTTATTTGAACACAGCCTAGTCACAGTTTTATGTTTACTGGACCTTTCTTGTTGCATTTTTTTCTATGCTGTTGGTAAGTATCTAGTTTTTAGCGTTCTGTGTCTGCCCAGTCTTTATATTTTAATGACTTTTTACTGAGAATACTATTTCGCATGTTAAAGCAATTTATGCATTGGCTGTCCTAGCTTGTAAAATCTGTACCGAGATACCAAAACTTCGATTCAGATTCTTGCTCATCTGGTGAACCTCATTGAAGGGTAACTTAATTTATATTATCATCTATATTTTTAGCTTTTTATTCCTAAGTATGAAATCCAGCCTCGAGCTTTTGTCTTACTATGAAAAATCAATAATTATCTTTTAAAGTTGCGAATACCCCTGAAGATAAGTTACTGTAAGTTTTGTAAGATAGTGTTCTCGGCAACCAGACTAAATTTCTTGGGTATTTTCCGAATGAAGTAAGTTGCTACTCCTTGAAACTGAGCATACATGGAAAGCACATTCAATTGGTAAATGATAAAATCCGCAGGCATGAAGCTTTTGGTAGATCACTACAAAGACATGATATCTGAAGCCATCAAGCTTGAGGCCCTCAACAACACTCCAATCCATCCATCTCCCAGCATTCCAAATGGGCCGAAGCCCGCTGTTAGCTCAGCCCAGAATGGGGCCCCTATTCAGCTCTCGGGCCATAAGGCCCAGGGGACGTATATAGTTGGGGGCTCTGCTTTCGGATGGAACTTCATTACGTTCAACAGTAACAAAGCTGCTTATTACGGGCGAACGAAAGAGGATTTTCGGGCTGCAAATGTCAAGCCCCCTGAAGTTCGGAGTACTGATTGTTAGACAGCACCCAGTTTCGAATCTTTGAGGCATTTGTGGGTTGTTTGTATGACATGTTTGGATCTTTTAGAATTTATCCNTTGTATGAAGTAATTGGTGGGATATTCACAGTGCCACTCTTAGGGAAACTAGTCAACTACTAATGCAATTGACAGCATCTATATAGGTCAACAGTTCTAACACGGTTGAGGCCTTATGTTTAATTTTTGTTGTATTTGCAGATTGCAACCACGGTGCATAAGACAAATGATTCCTTATTTTATTTACATAAATGACAACACAAATTATTGTAGATGGTATACTTCTTAGGTGGGTCGAGCTATTATAAATTTTTATTAAAAATACATAATTATGTTATAAAATATTATGTTTTTATTTATGTTGTTTATTAGTGACATTTAAAGTTGAATGTATCCAAAGTAAGTGTTGAAAAAGTACGATTGCATTACCGTGCTTAACATTAGTTGTACTGCAATTAAAATTAGGGTGGACAATGGCCGACATGAAACGAAACACAAATTTAACACGACCGAAAAGAAAACACGATTTAGAGACAAATGACACGATAGACACGAAAACAACACGAAACACAACACAAAAAACACGAAATAAAACATTAAAATTCAACTTAGTATCGTACTTATGATCGAATAAAATGGATAACAGAAAAATACGATAGCGAAGCACGAACACGACACGGTAGAGTATTGTCACCACTAATCAGAATTGCTCACGTAATAACATTAGAATAAATAAAATGCTTGTCATCCTTTGGTGTCTCTTACTAATTACAATTGTATCTAATAACGAGCACCCTCAAAATCCCAGAAAGAAATAAAAATAATACTAATAATAAAAAAAAAAAAAAACACATTCTTTATTTAGTGAAAAACACCCTGAAAAATCTCACGTCCCTTGAAATTTTTTTCATCTTCTCTAAGCTCTACCAGAAATTAAGGATCCCATTTTTCTTTTGTCTCTCGCCATTCTCTCTACCGATTCCTCCTTTTTCCTTCGATCCAGAAAAGAACTTCTTCCAACTTGCTGAAGCTTCAAATTTCTAACCAGAGAACAAAATGGTATCAGACATTGCATTCACATATGCATTATCTTCATTTGCTCATTGCATTTCATGGATGTTTGTGTATATATATAATTATACATGTGTATATATATAGTTTTGTAGTTTCTTGTTTATCCTTGTATAGTATATGCAAATTTAGGCTCGGTCCTTAATAGGTATAAAATTGTTTTTAATTAACCATTTAAGGTCAAGAATTGTTCAATTGGATATGACCAAAGCTCACACACATGTATAAAATTCATATGATTAAAATTAATGCATATATAGAATGCTAACTTCATCAAATACATTTCGTTTTATTCTTATAGAAAACCAAAATTGCCATTCATCATGAAAAGAAAAATGATATATATTAATTGAATTTTCAAAATCTTTGTAATAACTATCTCTACTTTAATACATCTTGCAACAATGTATTTTTGACATAAAAAAAAAAAGGCAAATTCGGCATCTGGAATAGCAGTGGACGACGAGTGCAAGCTGAAATTCTTGGAGCTGAAGGCAAAAAGGAACTTCCGATACATTGTTTTCAAGATTGACGACAAAGGCAATCAAGTGATGGTGGAGAAGGCCGGCAGCAATGGCGAAACCTATCAGGATTTTGCCGACAGCTTGCCGGGAAATGAGTGTCGTTACGCGGTCTTCGACTATGATTTCATCACCAACGAGAACTGCCACAAGAGCAAGATCTATTTCATTGCATGGTAATTTTAGATTATATAATTACTATACATATATATGGACATACTCTTGGCCATCATGTTTCATAATATTATAATTAAGATGCATTTTTTGGTAACCAAATTATGATCATTTCACTACAAAAAAATTGTTATATTCCAACGGAAAATCATATGGTAATATATTCTAATGGAAATTCCAACGGATATTCCAATGGTATAGCTTTCGTTGGAATGATTCCAACAAAAATATTCTGTTGGAATGTATTTTTCATTGGAATTTTAGATGGAATTTGATGATTCCAACGGCTATATTTCCAACGGCTATATTTCCAACGGCTTTTAACCGTAGGAATTTCCATTGAAATATGCAATTTCTGTTGAAATTTTTATTTCCACCACCGTTGGAAAATCTACCGTTGGAATCCTCAAAATCCAACGGAAATTCCAATAGAAAATTCATTCCAACGGAATATTTTTGGTGGAATTTCCGTTGGAATTATTCCAACGGAAATAATAGCATTGAAATATCTATTGAAATTATCGTTGGAATTCTATTAAAATGTATTTCCGTTGGAATTTCATCATTTTCTTGTAGTGTTTTCTTGGAGATTTGGGAGATGATAATGAACATTATACATCTATATGGTTTTGGGGTCAAAGGATGAGAATAACGAACATTATACATCTATATGGTTTTGGGGTTTCATGGTTTGAATTATTGGTGACAAAAACAATTCCAATAGAAATTAACTGTTGTTGGAATGATGAAACCGAGGGATATAGTTAATTCCAATAAAATATTTTAGTATTGATATTAAAATCTGAATACGAAAGTTATAACATGGGAATATTTATAAGATCTTCTGTTGGAATATTTTGTTGTTGGATTTTGAATTGGAATTACAAATGTTGCTGGTATTGTTTCTCACAATTAATTACGGAAGTATGAATTAATGCAGGTCACCAGATACTGCAAAGGTGAGAACCAAGATGCTGTATGCAAGTTCAAAAGACAGATTCAAGAGGGAATTAGATGGGATTCAAGTGGAATTACAAGCCACTGATCCTAGTGAGATGAGCTTGGAAATCATCAAGGAAAGAGCTTACTGAAAATTTCCTTAATTCCCCACACATATATATATATATATATATATATATAAATATACATCAAAATATTCTTCTTCGTCCTTTAATTTTCATTTTATTTTCTAATATACATCTTTTATGTTTTAAATTCAAATTTGATTTCTGGAACTTTCCCTTTTGAAAGCTATGACTAGTTTTTTGGCTTTAGCCGACTGTTTGGAATACATTGCATATTTCCTTTGTATTTTTGTTATATATATCTAGTGCAACATTTGGAATTCGGTGGAATTCTTTTGCCAATTTTAATTTGTTCATAAATTTGTATATGAGACGGTATGATAGTTGGATATTCATATTATAAATTGCTATATTTTTATTTATATTTTTTAAAATATAAAATTAAAATATAAAAGTATGTAAATTTTTAAACATATCACTATGTAATCATTAGGCATTGTAGCTCACACACATTCAACAAACTTGGTTATAGTCCTGCACCTTAATTAACCATTTTTTTTTTTTTAAATCAGTCCTCTAAATCACAAACTTGTTTATAGTTCGCCTTACTTGACGAATGTTTTTAAATGACCTCAAAATCACCGCATCAACTGTTGAACTAAATAATCAATTTTAATATATAAAAAACTATATATACATTATTTTTATAAATATAATTAAAAAATAATAGTTATATGCAAGTACTATACCACAAAATTCTAATAATATTATACTAGTGCGTAAACCGTGCGATGCACGGGATGTAAAATTTGGAAGAATAATATAACCTCACGTGCATTAGGATCGAAATTGAAATCATTAAAATACATAGGAACATTGTTTAATCATAAAAAGTTCGGTAACAATCATATATTATTAAAAATCTCCTTGTACACAACATTATGAATTTGATTATTTAGTAACTCCTCATTATCACAAACTAATATTTTCAAAAGAGACAAATCCTAAAAATCAAACTAATATTTTTGGTGAACAAACTAATATTTTAGGATTTCTAGGATTTGTCTCTTTTTGGTGAACAAACTAATATTTTAGGATTGGTTATATGAATAAGGCTACCTGTTTTTGGTGTTCTTTTCATTCATTTTCATTCAAACAATCTGATGACTTGTATAATGAAATCCGAATCTTAAGCCGAAATATTTAAAAAAATAGTTTTTAAAAATTGAAAAGTCAAGGCAATCTGTTCAGATTAATTAAAGGTCAAAGAATATCCACTCCTTGAAATAAAGACGTGTGCTATCATTAACCAAATATTCGGTTATTGATATAGAGTGGTTACCAAAAAATAGAACGCGATAAGGACGCTTCATGGAAATATCAATGGGATAAGGTCATAACAGATCGCTATACATTTTAACGATAAAAGCTCAGATGGAATGATTTATGATAATTATGTCGTAATTAATTAATTAATGAGAAGTGTGAAAATGACATAATTAATGAGAAGTGTGAAAATGACATAATTAATGAGAAGTGTGAAAAGGACATAATTAGTGAGAAGTGTGAAAAGGACATAATTAATGAGAAGTGTGAAAAGGACAAAAACTTACTGGTTTTGGAAAATATTTAATGCAAATCCAACATTGACCATAATTTGACCTACTATTTTGGATATATGTTAATTCTTATTATATAAGTATAGATATCATCATAAATATTTTTCTTATAAATATGTACACATAACATTTAAATCATAGAATACTAAAAAGTATTTTCTTAGAAGAATTGTCGGGTCAATGCATGCTCGGATCACCGGGTCACAACTGAAACGACCAGGTTTGACCTGCGTAATTGCAAATTGGTTGAAACGACCAAACGGAATCAATAAAATTCACATGTATAAAATAAACATTGTGAATAAAATAATACATTTGCTTGGATATAAAATATTTTAATTTTGTTTGGTTTTTTTGATTTGGCATGTTAATTTTGAAAAAAATGGTATAGTGAGTTTTTTTTTTTCAAAACGATAGATAATATTATAAATCAAAATGCACAAATGTGCGAATACACAACAGCCAGCAGCAGAAAAAGTGGGAAGACAGGTCAGAAGACCGCCTAGAATCCTGACTACCAACGCTAGAAAAAAAAAACACTCGCAACTAAAATAACCGACTACATATATGGCTACCAAATACAAACTAAAACTAAAACAAACTAAAAAGACCCCAACAGGGTAATGCCCGAGTGTGGGATCCCCGGTATAATAGGGTCACACTTGGGTAAACCGAGGCCAACGGCCCAAACCTAAAACACAAAAACAAACACAAATACAAAAACATGCACAAAACATGAATAAGAAAACCTATACTACTAACGAATAAGGCCCTTCCCCAGTGAAATGCTAAAACCAACTCAAAGCACCAGCGAAAAAGACTAACATTCTACAGCTTGACCCAAAATCCGGAACGTCACTCCCGTCACTGCCAAATGCCTAGCAAGGAACAAGTCCCGAACCTCGAACCACTCCAAGAATGAAGCTGACCCGAAGCCAAAGGAGTATCAACCCGTCCTCCACACACCAGCAACCTGAGACCCGGCGCCGCCAACACCACTGACCTAGGTTCGGGCGTACCGGCATCCCAGAACTGCAACACCGGCGGAAAGGGGACCCGAGGGCAAGAATCGAAACCCCTCAGCCCCTGGCCGCCGCAACTCAGACGAGCCGAGCCGCCAGGGCCGCACCCAAAACTCCAACCACGCACCTCCTGCAGCAATCAGACCCAAACCGGAGGAGAAACCGTCGAACCCACCATCAACCACCATCCCAAGACAGAGCCATAGAATAAAGCTGGAAAATCACCGTCTGGGTTGAGAATCGTACCCACATCGAAAGTGGAGCCGTGGAACCCGTCAACGGTAGCCGTACATGGGCGGATTCGACAAAGGACTTCCGGGAATCCACCTGCGACGCTAAGAGAATCTCGAACGGCGATCTCCAGCAGAACAGCCCCGGCCGTCGAACAGAACTCATCTCCGAAAGGCGAGAACTGAGAAGAAAACGCACAAATCAAGCCGTGGGAGCGCCGCTACGGGTCATCCACCGGCGAGAGGCTGGCCGTTCGCCGGGGAAGGCAAGGAAATCGACAGTGGCGAGAAAACGATTTGGGGGAGAAGGGTTTTTGGGTTTTAGAGAGAAGAAAAGAATGGTTTCGGGTTTTGGTATAGTGAGTTGTTAGTGAGATTTTGTGTTTATATTAAAATAATATTAAAAATAAAATAATTAAAATTGATTTGATGTAAAAATATGAGAGAGGTGATGTGAAATGATAGTTAAAATTATGTGAGTGAATGTATAGTGAATTAAAATTGATGTAATGTGTAAGAATGATTGAGTGGTATTAATTATATTGATAATATTGAATATAGTGAGTTTGAGTTAAAATTGAATGAGATTTGAGTTAAGAAAGTGATTGATTAAAAATAATTGACATTTTTTTGGAAAAAATTATATCCTAAGGATAACATCTCATCAAATTATGAGATGTCAACTTATTTGGTAAAATTTTATGATCCCCCAATCCATCCATTTTATATATTCCATGGATCACTCCTTGAGAATCAATACGGATGAACTGCATATTATATAATGAATATTAATTGATTTATATTGATTGCATATTTTATATTGCCTGGTATGTGTTGATGGCAATTGATATGCTTCGTATTTTCCCAATATAAATATACTTATTCGATGTTATTTATTGAAATTTGAATCAACAACTAAAACATTTTTTTTTAAAAAAAAAGTAAAAACATAATAACATCGATAAATAATTTTCTCAATATGTCCCTAACATCACGTATAACACGAAATAGAGGGAGTATTGTTTAATGGATTTAAAATTCTTTTATAACTAAAACAAATAAATAAAGAATCAAATGCAATCTATAATCTCAACCAAAAAGATATATGATCAATCACAAATTAAATGTAAGCACTATTTCTGACCACAGACACAAATATACTTGAAATGTAAAGGGACAGACATACACTTGTTTTTCCCTCTCGACAAGTGCTCACAAAATTCTTTCCCAGTTTCCCTTTTCTTATATTTAGGAGACGTTTCTTATTTCATTTCATTTTGTTATTCCTTATTTTCGAATTTTAATAATTCGGTGACTCAATTGCTTTTTCCATTTTGCTTTTTCTCGCCCAGTAAAAGATAAACGTGAGTCTCTTTTGCAAACGATAGCTTTATAGGCACGAGGGATCAACGTTGGCGGCAATGGCTTCGCCGGAGGAATTTTCCGACGTGAATCCGGTTGCATCGCCGCCTAGCGACAATCCCAAGGCTTTCGCAAGTAATCATTAGAAATTCGTTTCATTTTTTCGTTTTGTTGTTTATGCATATATATTATATTGATACATATATTTTTTCAATTCTTATTACAACTTGAGATACCCAAATTGACTATTTACAATTTGTGTAGTTATCTTTGATTGTTTTTTAAATATAATTTGTTGTCTTTCCCATATTATTGCAGAGGCTGAATATCCTGATGCGAGTAAGAGCCTAGGTCAAACTCTTGATAGAGGTACCTAATTAAGACCCTTTATTAAAGTTACAAGTTCCATAAGTTTTTGCAGGCTAGTTATATTTGTATAATTGACTCGATGAATTTACAGATATTATTAAATTTGATTTAATAATGGTGATTGACTCTAAAGAAATGTGCAGATATTGCTCTTGCGAAGCTAGAACATGACAAGAAGCTGTCATTTATCAAAGCTTGGGAGGATCGTGAAAAAGCCAAAGTGGAAAACAAGTGAAGTTTCCTATATTCATTTCTTGTTTTTTGTTAAATATATAGTTTGATAAGTAAGCATCATTACAATGGGTGAGCAAAACAAAACGGAAATCGAAAACTCCAGCTGAACCGTGCGATTCGGTGTGGTTCAATTTGGTTATTGCCAAAGTAAAGAATTCTCAATTCAATGTTTTTTTTATTTTTATTTTTATTTTTATTTTTACTTTTTTGCGTGACACAGGTCGGTGCACCGACCTGTTCATTGCATACCACGGGAACTTATGTTAATTTTAATCATCAAATTTTTGTTATTCGCTAGGAATTTTAAAATTCTTGCAATTTTGGGATAGTAATTTTTATGTTGATGGTATAATTCTGACTGTACATAGATTTTATAACTAAACAGGGCAGAAAAGAAACACTTTAAAGTGACATCATGGGAAAACAGCAAGAAAGCATCTCTAGAAGCCCAGCTAAGGAAAATTGAGGTAAAAAACTTATCATCAACAACATTTTATTAGTCCATAACACAAATTCTTATGTGAAGCAACCTAATTGTTAGTCATATCGACTCGTCATACTTTATTAAAAAAAAAAAAAGAAATTATTCTATGAAATTGAAATGTCGTAGCTATGTTTATATTGCATTTTAAAGTATGACATTTTAGTTTGACTGAATGATCAAATGGGAATCGATCATAAGGGGTATTCTAGTCGAAAATTCTGTAGTTTAACTGCATTATATATATGTTGTGTTAATTAAGAGTCAATATTTATTCTGGCAGGAGCAACTGGAGAGGAAAAAAGCAGAATATGCTGAGAAAATGAAGAACAAGGAAGCACTCATTCACAAGCAAGCAGAAGAGAAGAGAGCCATTGTTGAGGCCAAGAAAGGAGAATGGCTTCTCAAAACCGAGCAGATGGCCGACAAATATCGCTCGACTGGACACATTCCCAAGTCCGGTTTGAGATTCTTTAGGGACTGAGTTGGAGTACTGATTGATGTATAATATGACTAGCCAATGTTCTGGTTTACTTCAATCATAAACTACACACAATTTTCATCAATCCAAGAAATAGACATAGTTTTTTTCTTTTTTTTTTTTTTTTTNACAAAAAGAAGAAAAATAGATAGAAAAAAAGTGCACCAGTTACTCAAAAGATTGAATGGCAATACAAACTAAGTAAATATTTTCCTTAGGCAGGACACATAGCAAAATACAATGTGAGACAGATGAGAGATAGGAAAAAGAAAAGAAAAACAAAGAGAGCCCTCAACAAAAGCTAGAGCCATAATCATAATAACAAATATCAGGCTGCCCTAAGAAGCTCATATCATTTTCGCTCGGGAAATCGAGAAGCAGCTCACGCAATTCGGACTCGTACGAGTTTTCCACCTCGTGTGGGCTCCATGAATCTGATGTGGAAACGTAGCTTTTGCTGGCCTTGCTTACGTCCCGGAAAGTCTCGCCGACCTCAGAGTTCCATAGCTGGAGGAAAAAGTCAGAGGGTTGTTGGGCCATGTGTTGGGCCCGCTGGCCTTCGGGCTTGAGTAGAGGCCCGTGGGCCATGAGCTTCTTGAGATGGGTGTTCCATAGGTTTTTTATCTCATTGTCTGTTCTCCCTGGGAGTTGGGAGGCTATAGCAGCCCACCTGGACAAAAAAGGATTGGTGAGTGAGATATTTATGAGTATTTGAAATTTGACAAAGACAAGAAGAAGAAAATAGTCATTAAGGATTAGATTTTTTTTTTTTTTTGGACACACACACACACACACCTGTTGCCAAGAATGGCATGCAATTGAATGACAAGATTCTGTTCATGAAGGCTAAAAGGGCCTCTCTTAATGTCTGGCCTTAGATAGTTTGTCCAACGAAGCCGACAACTTTTACCACAACGAAGGAGTCCTGTACAACAATGAGACTTACATATTAATGCTTTTGAAGCCTGTAAATTAATCAATGGAGCTCATTTTGTGATGTGAAAAGACAACCTGCAAGCTTGGGGAGAGAGCGCCAGCTGCCATGGCCATTCTTGTTGATAAAGCTCACCAGTTTCTTATCTTCTTCAGGGGTCCAAGGCCCCCTTTTCAGCCCCTTCTTATCACAACAAGGTGCCCTTCCCATCAAAACACACACACAATAGATTCTTTTTTTTTAGATTTTTTCTTTTGAATTCACAAACATGAATATCACTAAAATATAACTATTCAATATGCAAGAACACAGACACTGAAACAAGCTCAATAAGATTTTGTCTTTTCTCTCCTTTCTTTTGAAGAATGTTTTTGTTCTTATATGAAAGAATGTGCACTCTGGAAATGAAGAAAGGGCAAAGGGAANNAAAAAGATGCAGAGCTTCTTGAATGATCAAACATAAATGTGAAAGGACAAGTAGGGATACTTTAGCCAATCCTCAGCTGGATATATATGCATTTAATGCTCCTACTCTGATGTATAGAATATAGTTTTCAGATGCTAGATAATAATCATAACAATAATAATGATAATGCAAATTAGCATAATTTGTTTATTTATTGCTGTTATCTAAATGTAGTGCAGTTATTTCCATTCAATATGGACGAGGATAATGAAGGATTGATTCCATGGGACAAAAGAAATTTTCATAATTGTAATGCTGTTATGTATTGCTGTCTTGTGTTGTTCCTTTCCACTAATATATGTGTGTGTGCATACACACATTTTCTAATTTAGTATGGTTTTTCATTGAGAATGAATGTTATCGTGAGAAAGAAGACTTTTTCGATACTCGTCTCGGTGAATTTCCTTGATTCACTCGATTCACATTTCAGTAGGTTTGTTCGAGAATATTATTCATAGATGGATTATTCAAAAAATTTAGGTTTTCGAGCAATTTCTATCCTCAAAATTAAAATTTTTCTAAAATTTCCATGATTATCATTTCATTTAGTCTTGAATATCCATTATCATCGGAAAAAACTTTCTTATACAATGGTGTAAGATGAAAACATGATGATATCTCATACTTGATAAGACACATAGTCCAACCTTGGCAGGAAAAACATATTTCAATAAATGATCATTGACCTGTAACATTTCAAATTTCCATTAGAACACGAAAACACTACTGATGCATAAAAGCAAAGAATACTACATTAAGCTCTCTTGTGATTGAATGCTTTTGAACAGAGGAAAGTAAGCAAAACACATGAATACTTGTGTGAAAACATAGTGTTTGTCACTGTGTGCAGAGTAAATGCAAGAGATTGTAGGACACAAGAAGATAGAAAATGGAAATGCATTAAATGGCATCCTTATTTAATGCCCTGCATTTATTGGGGACTGCCCTTTGTTTTATTCAAACATATAGAGGCACATGCATGTGTGTAGCGTGCAGTAGTAATAGCGGGGACAGAGGGTCATGCAGAATGAGAGAGATGGTACAGATTTTCTTGTTGAATGTTTGTTGAAAGAGTAATGCTATAGAGCCTACTTGGATGACAACTTGGGTTACAACTTAAGTGTAAATCTATTATTTTTTACTTTTTTGATAATGCATTTACACCTGGATTGTAACCCAAGTTGTCATCCAAGTAGGGTAAATAGCACTACTCTTGTTGAAATAAATCTTTTTTTTTTTTTCATTTCTTTCTTGTGATAAAATGACATACTTTTATTTATATGACATTTTATAATGAAAAGTATGTATATTTATTTAAAAAATTATATCGGTATTCGGACCAAACAGAAGACCAATCGTTGTTAAGGGTGTCTTGCTCAAGTTTGAAGTTCGAAAAGTGTGTTCATTTTTCATTGCAAGTTGCTTGCCGGTATTTTTTGGGCTTGAAGTTTCCCTACATTTGTCTTCCTCAAGATAACAAGGGGAAATACAGGCGAACAGTAAGATATTAAACATATATATACATGTAATACCTGTTACTTTGATTCATTTGGGTGAGATTCAGTTCGCTTGATCAATAGTCTTACTGTCTTGGGTAATATTGTTGTATGTATGATGTGTTGTTAGGATATTTAAGGTCACCATGTGCGTTAGTTTGATGATGTTCCCGAAGTGAGTTCATGAAGGATTGTTATGCTAAATTGTATGCAGTATTTTTGGGCATGTGGTAACCGAGCTACCCGACTCGGGTCGTTCTCAAAGGAAGGTTGTTCGGAGCTTCGTTCACTACCTAGTCGTCAAAGTCACATAACCAAAAACAAGGTATTACACATTCTACTCGCTTGATGAGATTTGATTGCACGAAATTAAACTAAGAATCTAAGAGCAAATGATGAACAATGCAAGAATCGAAAGAAAGGTCAAAGCATTGGTTGCACGGAGTCTCCAAAAAAGAAAACAAGAGGAAACATGCGAGCATAGTGATTCTAGGTAATCTAACACGAGCTTTCTACACTAAATCATCACGCTTTGAACAAAGTCGAGACCTTTATACTAGATAAACACGTATATATTCCTAACACACGTAAGCAAACAATAAAAATAAAGCAAAAACCTAGAAACGAGCATAAACACACAATTCGACAAACAAACTCGAAGTAGAAGGGCCTAAGCAAGGTACCTACGCTCTTATCGCATGCTTGAACGAAAATAGTTTATAAAGCTCAGAACTTGGATAAAAATAAGCTTGCCGGAATTTCGCCGGAAGAATCGAGTCATGGACCTCCAACCAAAGCACAATAGTAAAAGAGAGAAAATAGAGAGGATTTCCTAACTTAAAAGTTGGAAAATGAGGGGAGATGCCCAAAAATACAAAGCACAATGTCTATTTATAGCTACACCACAAACACACACTAAAAACACACACATTAATAAAATTCTGCATTTCGGGGGTCTCGAAACCGGTTTTGCAAAGAGTGTGGAATTATTTGGTGTTGGCAGGGTGCATTCACGGGTTGCCAAAGTGATTTCTCTGAGAGTGTAGGCATGGAGTAGTGTAGCTCGGCGTGTTCGCTGGTCACCAATGTATGTTTGCAGCGAGTTCGGGCGTGTAGTAGTGCTGGTTGGGCATTTCGCGAGTCGCCAAGGTGAGCTCGCAGCGAGTTAGGCCTAGGTTGCCTGGGGTTGCGCCTCGTGGGTCGGGAGTCTCGTGTCGCAGCGAGTTCGAGCCTTTGCGTGTGCCCTGGTGTTGCGCCTCGCGGATCGCCAATGAAGACTCGCAGCGAGTGCGCGCTGATGAGGCGGGGCTGTCTTGCGGCTCCTTAAAATCCTCTCACAGCAAGTGCTGCTGGGCCAAGGTTGGGGCGTGTGCGCGCAATATCACGCGGGGCTCGAGTCCTTTCCACAGCGAGTGTGGGCGCGACTGGTTGTCTTTGGGCTAGGCTCGCGGCTCGATCAAGTGGCTCGGGTGGCTCGATGCTAGTTCGGGTGGCTCAGAAATGGCTCAAAAATGTCATGAATGGCACTATTCCCGAAATTGCGATATGGACCTAAACAACACACCAAAAGAGACGCAAAAATACGACAAAATACAAGAACACAAAACGAAAACGAAAACACATAAAATATGACAAAATGGATCGGTTGACACTCAAACAAACCTAAAAACGACTCTACTAAAGCATATAAAACACAAGAAAATATGCACAAAAACATAATAAACATAAACCTTGCAGGTGGATTAAGTTTCGGCATAATAATAATGAGATGAACGAGCGCTAACTTTGGTAATACAATATATTAATTAATTCTTGATTGTCAGTAATCGAATAAATTTATGGACATTGTATCTTAAACATGGAGAGATAGTTCAGGTAATTATTATTGGAGTCTCAAATATAATTTAGGATAGGAAAGGGGAGTGCAATAATATTATGTTGTAATCGATTGTTGTAATCGTGTTTGATTGTTGTAATCGTGTTATGCTTAGACGTTAGTGGTACGTCTTGATGATTATTGATGTTCATGTTATCGTATTCTTGATGTATCCTTGTGTTTTCACTCCCTTAGTAAAAAAATGAATAAAATGTGAGTTCGCGATGAAGTACGGATTAGGCTCTTCTTATTTCGACCCACTTAGTGTAATGAGATAATGAGCCCTGAAAGAATTTGACTCATCTTGACCCGGTTAGTCTCATTTCCGATGGATCTGGTCAATGAGTACGAGAAATCGGCCTAGGAGACTCGGGGACAAACCCTGAGGTTAAACCTAGGTAATAATCGNAAGAAGAAGAAGAAGAAGAAGAAGAAGAAGAAGAAGAAGAAGAAGAAGAAAATAAAAAAAGGGAGTTTTTTTTTTTCCAACGTCAACAAATTTTATTAAACTCGAACCAGATAGTTCAAATCGGGCTTTCAAATGAAAGCATACAACACAGGGAAAGAAACCGTTCAATCCCTTAACCCAAAATAACAACCGAACAATTTACAGCCCATCAAACTACTAGCCAAACTCAAAGGTACAAGGGAGGAAAGAAGACTTAAGGTCAACAACATCACTAGCTAAAGTGTTACAACAAACATCAAAGTGAAAAAGATCATTACTAAGCTTCATAGCCACACTGCTGTTATTAATTTTGCAACAACATTTGCTCCAGCCCCTTTGAGCTGCCATCATTAAAGCCCACCTTATTGCAAGAAGCCACTTTCCATCCACACAACCATCAAACCAGACCTCAGTCTTCAATTCTTGAGTCTCTTCTCCCGCAAGTTCAGCTTTACAGAAAACTTCCACATGATGCAATGAGGAGCATGAGGCACTGACAGTTAGCAACCACTGTCCTACCTTCCTAAAAAATGTCTCCTCTTGAACCATAGGAAGCTTGACAGAGGGCATAGCAGATCTGCTTGAGTTCTCAAGTATCTCACCGTACTCTGTCCATTCAGCAAAAGCACCAGCAACAACCTGCCTCTCATTTACATGTTTATTTTAGATAGAGAGATTCTGTCCTTGATGTTATTCATTTGAGGGGCAGTACACAGCTCTCCCCACCAATCTCTGAATGACAGGTTTTCAGATTGTAAAACATTCCAGGACAGCCCACTCAATTTCCAAGTCAGTTTGGCTCTAGGGCAGTAGAATAATATATGCTCTAGATTTTCAGTGTGATTGCCACAAAGGGGGCAAATAGGATCAACTGGAATTTTCCTCTTTAGCAATGCCTCTTTAGAACTGAGGTATTGGAACCAACACCTCCAAATGAAATGTTTGACTTTAGGTTTGATAGGCAAATCCCAGGTGGTCCTCCAGACTTTATCCTCAACTCTACCCCCAGAACTAGAACAAGCCTTCTCTCTAAACTTCAACTTGTGATCCAAAAAGGCATCATAGGTTGACCTAACAGAAAATTTGCCAAACTTCCCAAAAAGCTAGATGAATTTATCTTTTTTCCCACACAGAGAGAGGGGAATTTT